GGAGTACGAGGTCAAGGAAGATGCCACTGACGGTTTTTACTTGTAGCTTGAAATCATATGTTGCATAGGAACATGATGTCCAATAATAATATGTTATACTAATACTAGTATACCTAGAAGTTAGTATTATAGAAAATTAAATCATACCCATAGTTATTTTTTCTACACCTGGACATTTTGTTGTTTTTGGGTCATTAGCTGAGCTGATATAACATAATGATTTTGTCGCCCTTACTTTTCAGTCTAGTTATACCAGACTGACTACCTATATTAGTCTAGCTATACCAGATTTCTCATTAACATTATTTTAAATTTTGTACGATTTTAAAAACTATCAAACTAAATGATCTGGTCCAATTTCCAAAACAAATTAATAATATATAATAATATAATATATTAAAAAATCATTTTTAATAAAAATATCACCATAACATTTATACAAATAATAAATTTTATCTTAATTTAAAGAGGAACACTAATATAATATTTTATAAAATCATTTTTAATAAAAATATTTATACAATATTTATATAAATAATAAATTTTGTTTTAATTTTGAAAAAACAACATTATTTCATTTCAAAAAAATTATAATTAAACTAATTTATATATATATATATATTAAAATCAAAATAAAAACAATAATTCTGACACGTGATCATGACAATATCAAGTGACATTACTCTGATCATGACAATATCAAGTGCCACATTAGAAACATGACGTGTAACGATACAATTTTTACAAAAAAGATTTAAAAAGTTTTCAAATAATTTTAAAAAATTACAAAAACCACGTATTAACAAATGACATACCTTAATAGCATTAGTATATTTTCAAAAAAATAACCTAATTGAAACCTTTTTAAAAACGAAAACTAAAAACAGGCCCATTTACCATGTGACTAATTAAGTCTTTATAGTTATATATAAATAATATACTGAACTACATTGTTCTAAAATATGCATTTGGAAAGATTATTTCCACAAAAAATAAGCTCAATAACATTATTTATTTCTATGCAATAATTAATACTGATTTTGTAAGCTCAAAAACTCTAGGTTGAACTTAATCCTTTATTTTTCTAAACTATAATTTCACAAAAAGGGCAAGCATCCAAAATAAAAGTATTATTCCACATAAATAAAAGTTAGCTAATTTATTACTTCTTTAACCAAATAATCAAATTTACTAATATCTTCTTCTCTTTTGAGAAGATGGCCCAACAATTACAGTTATCCATCAATGACAATTAATCCACCCACCGAAAATTTTTGAGTAATTAAGAAATTCAACGTAGGTATCCTTCAAATTGTACATGCTTTGAACTCCATGGTCATGGGGTAGATGTCTTAGGAGCCAAACATGCCACTAGTGAAACCTTTTTGGGGGAACGAAAATATTAAGAACTGAAATGCTGGCAAATTACCCGCATTTACTGAAAATAATCTCAATATCTTCCTAAATTAAATTAATCCTTACTTACAAGTTACAGCAAAACTTAGAATGAAAGATAATACATATAGCAGAAATGGGGAAGGAGTAAAGGTAGGAGATCTAATACACAGAAAAAGAGAGGTGGGTAGAAAGATTCAATTGACATTATGTTGCAGGCTTGACCTTTGGGACATCATCAAGAATGAAAGGACCAAGCTTACCTGTCCTGAATAGAGCAAGTAACTTCTTGGATACCATTAACCGTGCTTCTGAAGCCTTGTGAGGTATCTTCATTGCCTTTTGGAGTGCACTAAATTGCAGGTCAATAAGGCACTCCAGGTCATTCTCGTCTTCCACATTCCCATTGAATTCTGTTAGAGTTGAATAGAGCGCATGCTGAACTCCCATTACAAGATCCTATTGTAGAATGAGAATAAATTAATTTCAAGAAACAAAAAAAAATATGGGAAACGTGGGTAATTTCCATCATCACAGATTGCAACATCAAATGCAAGAAACGTAGTTCAGAAACACCTTGGTAACTTCAGATGCAAGACAAAGTAGAACTAAATATAGGAGACAGTAAGTCCTTCCCAAAAAAAGTGTGCTTGCAGACAAATTCATGTATCGTCTAGGTTTTAACAAAACATCGTCAAAAAATCCAAGGCAAAAAGATTTGTAATATAATGGGATTAAAACAACTGGGAAGTGTAATATAATTGGGACTTCGTCAGCCAAGGTGTGAAAATTTCCAGCATTGGTAGTTAAAAGCGTGATATTCCATTACACAGAAGAAAATCTACAGAAAACTGCTGCTTGTTACCTCAACATACACCAAATCAGATCTATTTGGCGGATTTCTTCTCTTTGGCTTAAGATTTTTCAGACTATATTCATGATTCACCTCCGCTTCGTATTCAATCCCATCCAGTCTCCTATTATTTAGGTGCTTCCAGTGAAATGGAGTCCCCCGAGTATCCAAAACTGCCAATAAGTACTGCGCAATACGCTCCTCACCCACTATTGAATCTTTGACTGACCCTGTCAATTCATCAACCATGTTTGCATGACATAATATATCAGGACACGTGCTACAAAGGATACATATTCAGAAACCCAACCGCTGTAGATGCACTACCTAGTCCCATTTTTTCCCATACTAAGTGGAACTCGTAAGAAAATGAGATATTCAATTGTCAAAACTGGTCTGGGAAAATAACTAAAGAATGTGTAAGATGTAGGGCAAAAAATAAGAACTTCTATCTACAATGACGGCTTGAAAACAAAGATAGTTAGCTTAAAAATGACAAAAATATGCCACATTGAAAAGATACTTAATTCAGTTACCCATGAACATTAGTACGGAAAAGGAAACAATCACGAAAGTCTTTAAATTACTCGTAGCGATTTCAAACTACATAATTTTGTTTTTTCTAACAAAGTTTTCCACCCACTGAAAAATGCCACCTCCACATTTTCATTGCCCTTGGGTGCCCCATAATGCCTATTCACAGACTAAAACCAGCCCTTTTGCTTATGCTATCACGATAAAATTGATTAGATCCTCAAAAGTTATTAGAGTATAAAATAAATGTTCATTATTCCATATTTAGAGTATATAAACCACCAGCTGTGAAATAAGACAAAAATCACCTTCTATTACTTTGTCCACTAAAGAAAACAGAAAATACATAACAAGGAAATTGATTGTTTGATGCAAAGGTAGTTTAAACACAATCAATAAAAAAAATGGGACTACAACAAAAGTTGAGCAATCAACTGACTTTTATATCCCGCCTAAAGTATCTACTTGAAAACATCAACCACAACTTCAAAATCAATTCCACATAAATGGGAATAGATCATCACTGTAAAAAGTAATGGAATCAAATTAATCAAATTTAACGCCAAATTCAAATTAAAACCTAGCAAGGTTATCTTACGTTCATTAATGTGAGACCTAATCACAGGAATAGTAAGAATCCTCCTTGTAACCCATAGTGAATCAAGAGAAGCATACCCATCCTTGACAGAGCAGGTTCTCAGACTAACGCAAATGATTGCCCTGATGGAATACTGACAGCTTTCCAATTCCAGGAATTGCTAATAACTAAGGAATGAGATAATAAGAGATAGGATCTTGACCATTGAAGGGACAAGAAGATTCAAAATTACAGGCCCGTAATAAATTAAAGGATTCTACTGAAAATAAAATTCAACCTAGTAAATAAAACAAATCACTAATTTGTCCTCTGCTACTGTCCCACCAAGGCATCCACTTCAATTGATTAAATGCAATAAAATAATAAACAGGTAATGTGGTTTGCAAGTAAAACATAAGTATATAAGAGACAACGCAGACACTGAATCATATCATATAAAAGAAGACTGTTGTTTATAAATTTAAACACTCTCCTTATTTTACTTTAAAACAATTGGCTAGCCAAGACATCAGTAAGAAGTCTTGTTTGTATTCTATGTATAGAAATAACAGCAGCAATTATAGGTTTGCAATCTAGCTTGTAGACACAATGAAAACTGGCAGGAAGAAAAAAATCAAATTAAATCTTTTATTCATATTCCAGTAAACAAACATATCTCCCAGAAAAGGCTTTGAATAAATCCACAGGAATCAAACATGTTGGGGATAAACAAATGTAATTTCAGAACATAGTTTTAGTCAACATAGCCATACTCCGATAATAATATGTCAAATTTTACCACGATAACAATGTCAAATTTTACGAATGACAGAAATATTTATGATAAATTTTAAAAGACGTAGTACCTGCCAGAGCCAGCTTTAACCCTGTCTCTATGTCCGAGATACTCGGAACCAATNAAGTAACTTCTTGGATACCATTAACCGTGCTTCTGAAGCCTTGTGAGGTATCTTCATTGCCTTTTGGAGTGCACTAAATTGCAGGTCAATAAGGCACTCCAGGTCATTCTCGTCTTCCACATTCCCATTGAATTCTGTTAGAGTTGAATAGAGCGCATGCTGAACTCCCATTACAAGATCCTATTGTAGAATGGGAATAAATTAATTTCAAGAAACAAAAATAAAATATGGGAAACGTGGGTAATTTCCATCATCACAGACTGCAACATCAAATGCAAGAAACGTAATTCAGAAACACCTTGGTAACTTCAGATGCAAGACAAATTAGAACTAAATATAGGAGACAGTGAGTCCTTCCCAAAAAAAAAGTGTGCTTGCAGACAAATTCATGTGTCGTCTAGGTTTTAACAGAACATCGTCAAAACATCGAAGGCAAAAAGATTTCTAATATAATGGGGATTAAAACAACTGGGAAGTGTAATATAATTTGGACTTCGTCAGCCAAGGTGTGAAAATTTCCAGCATTGGTAGTTTAAAGCGTGATATTCCATTACACAGAAGAAAATCTACAGAAAACTGCTTCTTGTTACCTCAACATACACCAAATCAGATCTATTTGGCGGATTTCTTCTCTTTGGCTTAAGATTTTTCAGACTATATTCATGATTCTCCTCCGCTTCGTATTCAATCCCATCCAGTCTCCTATTATTTAGGTGCTTCCAGTGAAGTGGAGTCCCCCGGGTATCCAAAACTGCCAATAAGTACTGCGCAATACGCTCCTCACCCACTATTGAATCTTTGACTGACCCTGTCAATTCATCAACCATGTTTGCATGACATAAGATATCAGGACACGTGCTACAAATGATACATATTCAGAAACCCAACAGCTGTAGATGCACTACCGAGTCCCATTTTTCCCCATACTCAAAGTGGAACTCTTAAGAAAATGAGATATTCAATTGTCAAAACTGGTCTGGGAAAATAACTAAAGAATGTGTAAGATGTAGGGAAAAAAATAAGAACTTCTATATACAATGACGGCTTGAAAACAGAGATAGTTGGCTTAAAAATGACAAAAATATGCCACATTGAAAAGATACTTAATTCAGTTACCCATGAACATTAGTACGGAAAAGGAAACAATCACGAAAGTCTTTAAATTACTCGTAGCGATTTCAAACTACATAATTTTGTTTTTTCTAACAAAGTTTTCCACCCACTGAAAAATGCCACCTCCACATTTTCATTGCCCTTGGGTGCCCCATAATGCCTATTCACAGACTAAAACCAGCCCTTTTGCTTATGCTATCACGATAAAATTGATTAGATCCTCAAAAGTTATTAGAGTATAAAATAAATGTTCATTATTCCATATTTAGAGTATATAAACCACCAGCTGTGAAATAAGACAAAAATCACCTTCTATTACTTTGTCCACTAAAGAAAACAGAAAATACATAACAAGGAAATTGATTGTTTGATGCAAAGGTAGTTTAAACACAATCAATAAAAAAAATGGGACTACAACAAAAGTTGAGCAATCAACTGACTTTTATATCCCGCCTAAAGTATCTACTTGAAAACATCAACCACAACTTCAAAATCAATTCCACATAAATGGGAATAGATCATCACTGTAAAAAGTAATGGAATCAAATTAATCAAATTTAACGCCAAATTCAAATTAAAACCTAGCAAGGTTATCTTACGTTCATTAATGTGAGACCTAATCACAAGAATAGTAAGAATCCTCCTTGTAACCCATAGTGAATCAGGAGAAGCATACCAATCCTTCACAGAGCACGTTCTCAAACTAACGCAAATGATTGGCCTAATGGAACACTGACAGCTTTCCAATTTCAAGAATTGCTAATAACTAAGGAATGAGATAATAAGAGATAGGATTCTCGACCATTGAAGGGACAAGAAGATTCAAAATTACAGGCCCGTAATAAAGTTAAAGGATTCTACTGAAAATTAAATTCAACCTAGTAAATAGACAAAACAATTCACTAATTTGTCCTCTCCTACTGTCCCACCAAGGCATCCACTTCAATTGATTAAATGAAATAAAATAATAAACAAGCAATGTGGTTTGCAAGTAAAACATAAGAATATAAGAGACAACGCAGACACTGAATCATATCATATAAAAGAAGACTGTTGTTTATAAATTTAAACACTCTCCTTATTTTACTTTAAAACAATTGGCTAGCCAAGACATCAGTAAGAAGTCTTGTTTGTATTCTATGTATAGAAATAACAGCAGCAATTATAGGTTTGCAATCTAGCTTGTAGACACAATGAAAACTGGNTATATATATATATTAAAATCAAAATAAAAACAATAATTCTGACACGTGATCATGACAATATCAAGTGACATTACTCTGATCATGACAATATCAAGTGCCACATTAGAAACATGACGTGTAACGATACAATTTTTACAAAAAAGATTTAAAAAGTTTTCAAATAATTTTAAAAAATTACAAAAACCACGTATTAACAAATGACATACCTTAATAGCATTAGTATATTTTCAAAAAAATAACCTAATTGAAACCTTTTTAAAAACGAAAACTAAAAACAGGCCCATTTACCATGTGACTAATTAAGTCTTTATAGTTATATATAAATAATATACTGAACTACATTGTTCTAAAATATGCATTTGGAAAGATTATTTCCACAAAAAATAAGCTCAATAACATTATTTATTTCTATGCAATAATTAATACTGATTTTGTAAGCTCAAAAACTCTAGGTTGAACTTAATCCTTTATTTTTCTAAACTATAATTTCACAAAAAGGGCAAGCATCCAAAATAAAAGTATTATTCCACATAAATAAAAGTTAGCTAATTTATTACTTCTTTAACCAAATAATCAAATTTACTAATATCTTCTTCTCTTTTGAGAAGATGGCCCAACAATTACAGTTATCCATCAATGACAATTAATCCACCCACCGAAAATTTTTGAGTAATTAAGAAATTCAACGTAGGTATCCTTCAAATTGTACATGCTTTGAACTCCATGGTCATGGGGTAGATGTCTTAGGAGCCAAACATGCCACTAGTGAAACCTTTTTGGGGGAACGAAAATATTAAGAACTGAAATGCTGGCAAATTACCCGCATTTACTGAAAATAATCTCAATATCTTCCTAAATTAAATTAATCCTTACTTACAAGTTACAGCAAAACTTAGAATGAAAGATAATACATATAGCAGAAATGGGGAAGGAGTAAAGGTAGGAGATCTAATACACAGAAAAAGAGAGGTGGGTAGAAAGATTCAATTGACATTATGTTGCAGGCTTGACCTTTGGGACATCATCAAGAATGAAAGGACCAAGCTTACCTGTCCTGAATAGAGCAAGTAACTTCTTGGATACCATTAACCGTGCTTCTGAAGCCTTGTGAGGTATCTTCATTGCCTTTTGGAGTGCACTAAATTGCAGGTCAATAAGGCACTCCAGGTCATTCTCGTCTTCCACATTCCCATTGAATTCTGTTAGAGTTGAATAGAGCGCATGCTGAACTCCCATTACAAGATCCTATTGTAGAATGAGAATAAATTAATTTCAAGAAACAAAAAAAAATATGGGAAACGTGGGTAATTTCCATCATCACAGATTGCAACATCAAATGCAAGAAACGTAGTTCAGAAACACCTTGGTAACTTCAGATGCAAGACAAAGTAGAACTAAATATAGGAGACAGTAAGTCCTTCCCAAAAAAAGTGTGCTTGCAGACAAATTCATGTATCGTCTAGGTTTTAACAAAACATCGTCAAAAAATCCAAGGCAAAAAGATTTGTAATATAATGGGATTAAAACAACTGGGAAGTGTAATATAATTGGGACTTCGTCAGCCAAGGTGTGAAAATTTCCAGCATTGGTAGTTAAAAGCGTGATATTCCATTACACAGAAGAAAATCTACAGAAAACTGCTGCTTGTTACCTCAACATACACCAAATCAGATCTATTTGGCGGATTTCTTCTCTTTGGCTTAAGATTTTTCAGACTATATTCATGATTCACCTCCGCTTCGTATTCAATCCCATCCAGTCTCCTATTATTTAGGTGCTTCCAGTGAAATGGAGTCCCCCGAGTATCCAAAACTGCCAATAAGTACTGCGCAATACGCTCCTCACCCACTATTGAATCTTTGACTGACCCTGTCAATTCATCAACCATGTTTGCATGACATAATATATCAGGACACGTGCTACAAAGGATACATATTCAGAAACCCAACCGCTGTAGATGCACTACCTAGTCCCATTTTTTCCCATACTAAGTGGAACTCGTAAGAAAATGAGATATTCAATTGTCAAAACTGGTCTGGGAAAATAACTAAAGAATGTGTAAGATGTAGGGCAAAAAATAAGAACTTCTATCTACAATGACGGCTTGAAAACAAAGATAGTTAGCTTAAAAATGACAAAAATATGCCACATTGAAAAGATACTTAATTCAGTTACCCATGAACATTAGTACGGAAAAGGAAACAATCACGAAAGTCTTTAAATTACTCGTAGCGATTTCAAACTACATAATTTTGTTTTTTCTAACAAAGTTTTCCACCCACTGAAAAATGCCACCTCCACATTTTCATTGCCCTTGGGTGCCCCATAATGCCTATTCACAGACTAAAACCAGCCCTTTTGCTTATGCTATCACGATAAAATTGATTAGATCCTCAAAAGTTATTAGAGTATAAAATAAATGTTCATTATTCCATATTTAGAGTATATAAACCACCAGCTGTGAAATAAGACAAAAATCACCTTCTATTACTTTGTCCACTAAAGAAAACAGAAAATACATAACAAGGAAATTGATTGTTTGATGCAAAGGTAGTTTAAACACAATCAATAAAAAAAATGGGACTACAACAAAAGTTGAGCAATCAACTGACTTTTATATCCCGCCTAAAGTATCTACTTGAAAACATCAACCACAACTTCAAAATCAATTCCACATAAATGGGAATAGATCATCACTGTAAAAAGTAATGGAATCAAATTAATCAAATTTAACGCCAAATTCAAATTAAAACCTAGCAAGGTTATCTTACGTTCATTAATGTGAGACCTAATCACAAGAATAGTAAGAATCCTCCTTGTAACCCATAGTGAATCAGGAGAAGCATACCAATCCTTCACAGAGCACGTTCTCAAACTAACGCAAATGATTGGCCTAATGGAACACTGACAGCTTTCCAATTTCAAGAATTGCTAATAACTAAGGAATGAGATAATAAGAGATAGGATTCTCGACCATTGAAGGGACAAGAAGATTCAAAATTACAGGCCCGTAATAAAGTTAAAGGATTCTACTGAAAATTAAATTCAACCTAGTAAATAGACAAAACAATTCACTAATTTGTCCTCTCCTACTGTCCCACCAAGGCATCCACTTCAATTGATTAAATGAAATAAAATAATAAACAAGCAATGTGGTTTGCAAGTAAAACATAAGAATATAAGAGACAACGCAGACACTGAATCATATCATATAAAAGAAGACTGTTGTTTATAAATTTAAACACTCTCCTTATTTTACTTTAAAACAATTGGCTAGCCAAGACATCAGTAAGAAGTCTTGTTTGTATTCTATGTATAGAAATAACAGCAGCAATTATAGGTTTGCAATCTAGCTTGTAGACACAATGAAAACTGGCAGGAAGAAAAAAATCAAATTAAATCTTTTATTCATATTCCAGTAAACAAACATAGCTCCCAGAAAAGGCTTTGAATAAATACACAGGAATCAAACATGTTGGGGATAAATAAATGTAATTTCAGAACATAGT